TATAAAGACTACTTTAGCCTTTTTAAAGATCTCTAAGTAGTACTTAGAGGTTAAGTAAGCTTAGAAGAGAGCTTAAATAAACTTAGCTATAGCTAGCTAAGTAGCTTAAAGTATATAAATAGTAATACTATTAACTTTAAATGTAATATTTATTATAAGTGTTATAGTAGCTACTTAAGTAGAGGAGATAGAGGTATTTTATAAGATATTAAAGTGAGGGGGGATATAAATACTATCTAGGTCCTAAATATTATTTATAGCTAAGAAATATTTAAGTAAAGCTTTTCTAAAAGCTTATATTTTTATAATAGGAGACTTAATTACCTTATCTTTAATTTTTAGGAGTAGTAAGTAAAAGTTAAGCCTTATTTAGCGTTATTTTATTACGTAGTAAAGATTAAAGATATTTACTATATAGTTTACTTTATTATAGTATTAAGCTATCTTATAGGTATAAATAGCTTATTAAAGTTCTATATTAGTAAGCTTTTCTTTTTTATAAAGGGAGTAAGAGAGGTATAAGTATAGCTTATAACTTAAGGATTAGGTATATTAAACTTTATATAATTTTTATTTAGTATCTTAGTATTTAAGTAACTATTAAGCTGAAATAGCTAAGCTTAAAGTATACTAAAGTAAGTAAGTTATAATATCTATTACTTATAAAAAGTAGAAGAAGATAGATTTAGTAGTAGTATTATATTATATTAGTATTAAATCTAAAGTAATAATAAAAAGAGGGTTCTATTTATAAAAAGTAATAAATCGCTTAAGTTTACTATTTAGTATTTATACTTAAGCTAGAAAGCTTAGTTCTAAAACTAGAAAGATAGAGATATAGGTTAGAATAGCTTTATAGTTTACTTTAAAGTAAAAAATAAAATTTATCTCTATTAAAATAAGTAAAATATTAAACTAAAATAGATCTATAGTATAGCTAATATTATATATTAGTACTTTAAGCTTATTTAAAAAGGAAAAACTATTCTAATTTACTTAAGTTTTAATTTTTAAGCTATTATTAATAATTCTTATACTAAAAGCTTAAGAGAGGTCTATAGTATTCTAATTACTACTAATAAAGAAATAAAGAGAGATAAAATACTAAAAGATATAAATAGTAGTATTATTATTTACTATATTAGGTTTATATATATTTAGAATAGTTATACTTTAAATCTATACCTAAATAAAGTTATAAGTTTTATAAAGCTAAGTCTAAATAGCTTTTAAGCTTTTCTTAATATATATAATTACTTAAGAAATAGTATTTAAATTATAATATCTTTAAGTATTAATAAAGTAGAATATTTTATAGAAAAAGTAGTTTATAAAGAATAGCTTTCCTTTTTTTTATTAGTATAAAGTTCTTATATTAAGACTATATTAATATACTTCTTAGTATAGCTCTATAGTAATATATAGTTTATAAGATTACTATACTTAATATTATATTATATAATATATAAACCTCTAATATAATATCTTTAAGTTTACTTAAGGTGAGGTATTATCTTTAAAAGGGGGGATTTACTATATATTATTATAATAACCTAGTTCTTTAATATATAAAGTAGTATTATAACTAAAACTATAAAGGGAGTAAGAAATAGAAGCTTATAGAGTTATAAACTTCTTAGGTTTAAAGAGGTTAAGCTAAAGTAAACTACTATTTTTTAAGCTTTTCCTAAAAGCTTCTTATTTTATATCTTTTTAGTATATTATAATATAAGTAGTACTATTAGATTTAATAGTATAAATTTATTTTTAGTAGGAGTAAGAAGTAAAGAGAGCGTTTAATATCTCTATTTTAATATCTTTAAGCTTAAAATCTTTTAAAAAGGAGTTTAAAATAAAAAGGTTATCTTTTATAGTAGTTTAAGTAGTATTAGCTATTTTATAGTTAAGTAGAGCTATACTATTAGTAATAATTATTAATTAAGCTGTTTTAAACTAAACTAAGGAAGTAGAAGTAGCTAAAAATAAGCTATAGAAGGAGCTATTAAGCTTAAGTATAGATAATATACTATATATAACTTATTAGATTTTCTAGAACTAATACTTAGAGGGTATAACTTAGATATTATCTTTTAAGGTAAAGTAAGTAGTATAATTACTATAGTTTATAGGGAAAGTACTATAATAATTTAAGTATTTAAAGTTATTTAAGTAGGTTAAAGCTATATTAATACTAGCGTAGTTAGTTTAACTATATTAGCTATAGTAATAAGATTTAGTATAGAAATAACTAATATAGTACCTTTAGTACTTATTAGAGTGAAGTATAGGCGTTTATTTCTTCTCTAATAGAAGGTAAATATAAGTAGATTCACAGAATAAGCACTATTTAGTACCTTTATAAGGTTAAAATAGTATAATAATCTAAAATTAAGTTTAAATAGTAAGGTTTATACCTTTCTATATTAAATAAGTTTATACTAAGTATAGCCTTATATATTTATAGATATTAGTTTTAACTATTTCTTTAGTAACTATAATAATAAAGTTATCTAAATACTTAAGGATTTCTATAAGTATATAGTTAATAAAGTATTTATATTATTTCTAAGGGAGGTTAAAGGATTAAATACCTATAGCTTTATAAATCTCTTCTATTTACTTAAGAAAGGCTTTCTTTATAGAAGTAGAGCATAGAATAATAATATAACTTAAAGTAGTATATAAGATATAAGTAATATCTATTAGTAAGAGGTTTAAAGCTTTAGTAATTCTATTTTAGAGAGTATATAGTAGGGTTTTATAGGTTTATACTGAGATTTTAGGGGCTTATAAGAGTAAATAGTAATCTATAGTAAGCTTTAGTAAGGTATAAAGCTTTTAAATACTATATAATTAGGCTAAACTAGTTACTATATTTTATTTAATAGAGAGTATCTTAGAGGGAAATATAGTATTATTTTAACCTTAGGGAGAGGATTTTATAGCTATATTACTTTATAAAAACTTAAGGGTAACTATTTATTAGATATAAGTAATAAATTTTTATATAATACTACTAAATACTTTCTATAGTTATCCTTTATATATTTTTATTAGTTAATTTAAGTATACTATAATTATTTAGTAAGCTTATTAATAAGTGTTAAATAGATAGAATAGTTTTTATATTCTAATAATAATTATTATACGCTCTATCCCTTTAAAGCTATTAAGAAGTAATAATTCTACTATAATAAGTACTTAGGAGTATAGATATAATAGCTTAGTAGAGGTAGGGGGAGGGGAAGGGTTTTAAACTAGTAATTTAGGCTTAGGTTAGGCGCTTATAGCGCCTACGTACAGCTATGAAACTATTATAACAGGCGATTAAGGGTGTTAATAGTGTGTTTTATATGCGTTAAGATTCTGGTGTGGTGCGCTACAGCCTGCTAACAGCGGGTCGCAGTAAAAAGTGTGTAGGAGGGAAGTTGAGTTCCAGTGATGGGAATGAGGGGATGTCCTCGCAAGAAACACAGGGCTTTCCGCCTGGGGTAGGACCGAGCCCGTCTACGGGATCAATGTATCTGGAGGCGGTCGATGCTTCTTCCTGAGCAAATACACCGTTGCTATTCAAAACGGACGATGGCACGGATCCAGTGATCTCGTGGTTGAAGACATTTTCGTTGAAAGACCAGGGGAAAGGCTGGTTGAAGGGGGCGAAAGCCGAGTTCCAGGCCTGCGCTCCCTCGGCCCCGGTGGGATTAATGGAGGCAGAAAAAGTCTCAAATTCGGACCCTATGTTAATGGATTGTCCAGAATGCGATGCTGTGCGGATGCTATAGCCTGGCATCGGGATGACGTCGGCGTTGAGGCTCGGTCCAGTCTCATTCAGCGTTACGAGGCGTCCGTATTCGGCGTCTGTCGGCATTGGCGCCGTTGCAGCACAAGAAGACGCGTTGGGCAAAGTGCGTTGATCCACGGCGTCAACTGCCGGTGTCTCGGAGCCATCAGTCTGGCCGCCCGGGGTTGTAACCCCATCGGAGGGTACCCCATCGGACGGGTAACGGCAGATTCTTCCCTTACTTGCGCACGAGCGACAAGGGTTGCCTTTGGAGCAGCGTTGTTTTGCCCTAGAACACGAGAGACATGCTTGTGGTTTCTTGCCAGGCCGTCTCGATGACGAAGTGTTGGCGGAATTCAACTCATGGGTTGTTAGATGTCGGTTGAGGACGTCTCTGAAAGACTCCAGTTAGCCATGTATGCTTGACGGAATCAAGACGCGACATACTTTCGAGAAAAGGCTTTTAGGCAAACCGTGCATTGGAACGGTTTCGAACCCAAATGACGTCGGAGATGGCGGTCGAGATGCTCCTTCCTCTTGAACGCCTCATCACAATACCTACAGCGCAAACTGCGAGAATCGCCGTTCATGCTGTCAACGGTTTCGGGAGATCGTGTGGAGGTGAAGAAGGGACAAACAGTCTCCGACGCCAGACGTTGGAACTGGTCAAAGCCTCTAGTCAGTCGGACGACCCACTTAGTTCCCGTCATCCCGGGCGATCATCATCTTTCATTCTGGTGTGGTGGACGTTAGCTTCGCGATGCTCGATTGTTATTGACGGCCGGCCAAGACTGGACGGACTCCGAATTCAAACAGACCGTTGCTTTGCATGGTGGGAGCCGCTGTGTCTTGTTTCATGCATGCGATCCAGTTATTACGCAGAGTAGAGCCCCATCAAACCAATCAAGGCCACGATGATTTTCAACCTGTTTGTTAATGAATCATGCTGGTGCAGCTCTCGGGGGATGTTGTGGGGGTGGGGGACCCGTCGCGCCGCGCTCGCGGCACCCCATCGGGATGTCAGCGGGGGGTTAGGGAAATGTGTAAGTGCCGACGCCGAGATCTGCCCCACGATCTCTCCCCAGATTGTCAAATAAATCTTCCCGGGCGCTAGAGTTTCAAGGCTTGGATGGCAGATATAATGACTTCTGTTAGCCATTGTTTTTGGGGCTGGTAGTTCATGCAGTCCTGCATTTACTTCCAATTCAAAGTTAACACCATGATTCTACCAATTCACGCCTTGGAGGGCAAACCACTGCCGCCACTGTGGTGGGCGATCCCTTTCGCATTACTTGCAGTCTTTCTTTATCGAATCATCTCTGCCGTTAGAGATCCTTTAAGACATATTCCAGGTCCGTTTCTTGCGAGATTCACTCGGCTGTGGCTGTTCCGCCAGTACTGCCGCGCCGACTACGAGAAGACGGACAGGAAGTTGCACGATAAATACGGTACGTGGACATTAGATTAGTTCCACTCTGCTAGAAGCAATCGCTAAATATTGCGTCGGAATTGCAGGTCCTGTCGTCCGGATAGCCCCTGGACAATACAGCATCGACAGTCTTGACGCAGCCAAAATCATTTACGGCCACGGCAGCCATTTTGCCAAAGTAAGTGCTTCTCACATTTGAATTCGAATCTCAACCGGACTAAAATGAGTTAACTGCCTCTCCAGAATGACTGGTATGTTCCATGGGGCAATCCTGCCCTGACCAACCTCTTCAACGAGTTGAATCCGAAAGTACACTCTGGTCTTCGCCGACAAGTCGCCAACGTCTACTCCATGTCCCACATGGTCTCGTACGAGCCCTACGTTGACGAGTGCACGGAAATCTTTGCCCAACGCTTTTCTGAATTTTCTGAAAACGGTCGCGTGATTGATCTGGGGCATTGGTTCCAGTGCTACGCTCTCGATGTCATTGGCAAAATTACGGTAAGACTAACATGCCCCTTTGTAAATGAGTTGCACTAATCAAGCGTAGTTCTCCAAGCGCTTCGGGTGTCTTGAGGACGGGGGAGACCCTCAGGGAGTCATCAAGGCGCTGGACGAGGTCCTGACGTTCAGCACCATCGTCGGTGTCTATCCGAGGATTTTTCCCTTCTTGTTCAGTATCCTCAAGTACCTCGGCTCCGGCGGAGAACCACGGGGAAGCGCATACATCGTCAAGTTTGCCGTCGACCAAGTCGCAGCTAGCCGGATCGAGGAGAAGCCCAAGGACGGGCCCCAGGATTTCATTTCCAAGCTTGTTCAGACCCAGAAAGAGCGCCCGGAGACTATCGACGATGAGTCCATTGGGAGTGCTGGCAGCACCAACATTGCTGCTGGCTCAGATACCACAGCGATCTCGCTCAGCGCCATAATGTACTACCTCTGCAGGAACCCGAGAACATTGGAAAAGCTGAGGAAGGAACTGGACGACGCCGAGGCGGAGGGATCAATCTCAAACCCAATCACCTTCAGGGAAGCACAGGCATTGCCATACCTTCAGGCTGTGATCAAGGAGAGTCTCAGACTGCATCCTGCTACCGGACTCACCATGCCTCGTGTGGTTCCTGAGGGTGGCAGGCAACTGGCAGGAAGCTTCTTTCCGGCAGGGGTAAGTGACTGATATTGTCCCCTTGAACAGAAGATGACGCTAACGTGTCCCGCAGAATGTTGTTGGAATCAGTGCCTGGATCGCACATCACAACAAGGAGGTGTTTGGTTACGATGCAGACGACTTCCGACCGGAGCGATGGATTGACTCAAGCAAGGAGCAAAAGAGCGCCATGGAATCTTACTTCTTTGCCGTAAGTAAACTTTTGAAGCACCCTACGTAGTTGAGCCCGAAGTTGACAAAGAGTCTCAAGTTCGGACAGGGCTCGCGCACCTGCATCGGCAAGAACATCAGCTTGCTGGAGGTGTCGAAAGCCATTCCTAGAGTCGTGCAGAACTTCGATTTGGTACTGGAGAAGGAGGATGACTGGAAATGCACCAATTACTGGTTCGTAAAGCCGCGGGACTTTTTCGTCAGAGTGAAGAAGAGGGGATCGTGCTGATCTCTACGCCCGGTTTTGGTTATGGTGCTTCGGTAGCCTGACTGAGATGGCCAGCATCAAAGGTGTGGGATCATTCAATTGAGGGATTTTTACAGATACTCTTATTGAAGTTAACAATGGTCGTTTAGTTTGTAAACATCTCTGGATGAGGAAGTTTCTGCGTAATTTGAGTGTACGTTCTTGGGTTGTTTTAATTCGTAGATGTGCTTGAACAACAGCAGCCACAAGACGACATTGTCAGCGTCCCTGTGAGCTGTATGAAACCAACAGGCAGCTGACCGAAAAGCATCGTGAAATGCTCCCGTAAGGAAGCGCCATGTTTTCCAGCACCAATCAGTTGCAAAGTATGCAAATGCCCAAAGCAAGCCGCCAACCACTGTCGTCATCATCCGAGCGGCCCCTCCAGCACGAATGCCAAGCGGGCCAGCCCACAACCTCTATGGAAAACAGGAACAACAAAATGAAAATAAGGCTTCAGAGAGTTTCTAGACCCATATAGAAAATCTCGTGACCAAACCACTTCATTGCTTTCTCAATTGAGGGTGGCCAAGCAAGTCTGACCACGCGACACGGGGCGTTTCCTCCGGACCATCCCACCTAAGATCTGCGATCTGACATCGCGGGGCGGAGACCGTGGCGGGGCTTGCCCCACCACCAATGACGTTTGCAAGGGGGGGGGGGGGGGGACCTCTACGGCGGCAGGTACCCGGGAGGCACTTGCACCTTCCCTGCGTGACGTCAATTCGATATCAGAGCTTTGGGAGCTTGAAGTGAACGCAAAGGTCTTTTTAAACGCTTTCCTCAGCCCCCTTCCACATATGTTTTCCATCCTTCAACCAAAACAACCCTTCGCCCCCTCATCAAGATCAAGAACAGAAACGAACAGCTTCCTGAAGCAACACCCCAACCATCTTACATTACCACAATTCGTGCATAACATCAAAGCATATCATCATGCCTCGCGACGGATCTGGTGCCTCTGACAATGCCATTGAGGCCGGCCACGACATCGTCCACGGCGCTGGTGCCGTTAAGGTACGTCGCACCTGCCGCAGCTTCCGTCTCCGGCGCCCAACACTAACAGCTTGTCACAGGACCCTCACGTCGACCGCGCCGACAAGACGGCACCCATGCCTGAAGTCGAAAAGGGCCTTGCTATTGACGGCATGAACGCCAGCGGAGGCCAGAGTCAAGGTCTTGCCAAGGGCGACAACGTTGGCCAGGGTGGCCGCAGAAACTAGATCTGCACCCACCGACGGGGCTTGGCCGGTATGGGCGCATGAATGGAGAGAGGATGGTACATATCACTACAGCAGTGGACCGTTGAAGAAGCGGGTAGCTTGGTGGTGACTACACAAGGTAGTCTAATGAGATATGAAACCTAATACATCAATCTCTAATCACTCGTGCGAACGGTCACAAATGAGCGGTGTGATTATTCTTATTGTTGAGAGAATACCTGAGTCGAGCATGCAATCACTAAATAAGATTCATGAATTAACCGTCCGCTACAATGTTACAACGACAGATTCTACCCAGCCCGCCATGGATCCAAGAGTATCGCCCGCGTCAATGGTCCCGCAATGTTCTCCAGGAATGGGTAAATGCCCAGCACAGCGTACCCTAAACCGCCTATGTTAAGATCTCATGCTCAATCACGCGCTGCCGGGCGCAGTGATTCGAAGAACCTACACAAAACAACGGTCTTCCACGATAACCAAGATATTGCCAGACAGAAACAGATTCGTGGAAACTGGATGATCCCGCAGACCATCAAGGTGAGCCCAAGGGCCTGATCCCATTGAAACGGGGCCATTTGGCAGTCGTTCGCGAGCGGCCGACAATCCGATGCCGTTCTTCTGTTGAGTGACGTATGGAGAGACAAACTTTTCGCAAATGACGATGAGGGTAAAGATTGGCGATGAGATCCTGCCAAGGTCGCATATCGTCCGTTTTAAGTCCCGCAACCCATCAGACGAACTCAAAGGACCATGTCTCACTGTCCAATCTCAACCATTCCACCAAACCACCTTCATCTTCAAGACACAAATCCTTTCAAGAAACAATCCCCTTTGTCAGTTAAACGTGAATCTCATTTCATCAGAACCTATCTGGCCCAGCAAATCATCCCGCATTGTCGCGGTATCATTCCACCCCATTTTTGTCTATCCCCTCATAAAGAAACCATATTCAATCCTCCCCTCAAAACACACACACACCCTCTCAAGCCTCAAAAACAAGAACAACGCCATCATCGCCAGCAGTGACAACCCTCTCTCCAGTCTCACCCTGCACGAATCCCAACACACCACCGCCCTCGCCACCGCCCATGTGTCCCTTCCACTCCTTCACCAACCCCGCGTCCGCCGCCCTCAGATCCCACCTCCTCACAACACCGTCCATGCCGCAACTCGTCAGCAGCCACGAGTTCTTGACAAACTCCACCTTGACGACGCTGAAATCCTCGTGCGCGCCAGGCAAGCTCCTCCTCACAGCGAACCTTCTGCCGGCATCAAACACCGCGATGCTGCCGTCCACCGAGCCCGCCGCAAGCAGCGTCGACGCCTGCCCCGGTCCGCCCGCCGCGACCGTGAAGCTCAGCGTCTCGATGCCGTCCGACGCCGTCTGCAGGCTCGCCAGGATCTGCCCGCCCGCCGCCACGTCCGCCGCCGTCTTGCTCTTGCCGCCCTTGCCCGCCTGCGCGCTGCTCGCGAGCCGCGGCAAGCTCACGATGCGGATCGCGCCGCCCGCGCCGCCAACGGCGACAAGCGCGCCCTTGGGGTCCACCGCCACGCTGTAGAGCCCGCCCTCGACCTCGAACCGCTGGTCCTGCGCCGTCATGCTCACCGTCGTCTGCCCGTTGCTCTCGACCAGCCCCTTGGCCGCCGCCTCGCCCCACACGTCCCACACGTACAGGCTCGAGTCCTCGGCGACGGTGCACAGCAGACTGCCGTCGGGGGTCCACGCGCCCGCGGTGCAGGGGGCCTGGTGCAGCCAGTACGTCTGCACGAGCTGCAGGCAGTTTGCGGGGTCGCCGCCGCCGGCCGCGATGTCGATGGTGTAGACCCAGACGGAGTTGTCGCTGGCGCCGAGGGCGATGGTGTTGGGGTACTGCGGCGACGGGCAGGGCGCGATCCAGTTGATCTCGGGGACCTCCTGCGCCTCGGCGATGAACTTGATCTGCACGCTCGCGGCCTCGGCGGTGGGCGAGTTGACGCGCACGGCGTGCACGCGCAGCTTGCCGTCCATGCCGCCGCTGACGAGGAAGTCGCCCTTGGGGAGGGTGAAGGCCGTCGCGTTGATGCTGTCCGTGTGGCCGTCGATCGGGTAGATTGCGTCGAGGCTGGTGCTCTGCTGCGGGGTCTCGCCGGAGAAGGAGGCGGGGAGGACGGGGCGCGAGGCGGCGGCGGCGGTCGACAGGAGGTAGCCCTTGCCGGGGGCGTCGTCGGAGTCGCCTTCGGAGCCGCCGGTCGCGATGATGGTCGGGTGGATGGGGTGCTGGGCGATGGTGAAGACAGAGTCCTTGTGGGCGTCGAAGTAGGCGACGGAGTCGTTGTGGAGTGTGATTTCCTCGTTGTCGTCGTCCGAGTCCATGGCGACGTCGTCGTTGTCGATGTTGACCTCCTCGCCAACCTCGTCGGCGCCGAGCATCTCGGGCTCCTCGTGGTCGTCGTTGTGGGCGGACATTTTGGGCTTTTCTTTCGGTCGCTTTTCTTTGGGTTGGGTTCTTTCGATGGGATTGCGCTGAAGAATGGAACGCGCTCGTCGACTGTCAGAGATAGACTGTCAGTCGCGCTGGGTATCTGGATATTAAAAGGAAGCGCAGAAACCAGAGGGCGTGGTTTATTAATGCGTCGAGGAAGTTCTGCGTGCTTGATAAGCAGGGTCGGCAGCAGCGCAGAGGTGAATTTTTTTGCAGCTTGGATGGCGGGGTGGCGGGGTAAAATTTGTCCAGGAAGCGCAGGCGGTGTGGGCCCGGTGACGCTGGGGGCATCGTTCGGGGGGATGCTGCCCCGGACGTCGGCGGCACGGAGCTTGGTCGGTGTGATTGTCTGATGCGTACTTTCAGCTTACAACCATTCTTCCGACCACTTCCTCAATCAACAGAGTTATGAAATATCCTGGAGACTTTGGGCTAGCCCGGATCATCGTTTGCTACCACACGGCCAACAACATGATGATGCGCTGACTGAAGCTTCTAGTTCAGCCCTCATCGAAAGTCGTGTCTCAATATAGATTTGATGAGTATTATTTCTCTTATCATAGTTGATCATGTCATTTAAATGCTTCTACTGAACGTATCATTTGCGAAGAAGTTGTGAAACAAAACCCCAATCACCCTCTTCAACTCCCGCTAGTCGCCTACATGCCCATCTGAATGCTGTCTGAAAAGTCCCCCAACGAGCTCACCAAGGACCATGATATATCAACCTCGAAATTACTCTCGTTATCAAAAACCCTTCTGCCAACTACCTCCCATTACCTCCGCTAGCATCCAACTCCGCCGGCGCCTCTCCCACCGGCAACTCAGCAGGCGCAGCCGGCGTCTGATGGGGGTATCCCTTAAACTGCTGCCCCGCGACTCCCTGCCCCGGCTGCAGCACCTTGTCATTCTGGTAATACCCCGCGACGCTCCCTCCGGCCATCTCGCTCGGCGCGTAGCTGCTGCCCTGGTAGTTGCTGTTCTGGTACGCGTACGCGCTCTGCTGAGGCGGCGTCTGCCCATCTGGCCCAGGCTGCGTCTGCTGTACGCCCGCATACTTGTGCTTCCGCCTCCTCCAGCATAGGAACAGACCTGCAAGTATCGCGATGACAACGACCGGAACGACGACCGCCACGGCGACGATGCCCCCTGTCGAAAGCCCGTCACTCGTAGAGGAGTCGCTGCTGCTGCTGCTGCCGTCACCGGTACTCGATGTCCCAGCCCCACTGTCGGTGCCCGTGGCCGTCGCCGACGCAGTGTTTGAGACTAGATCGCTCGCTTGGTACACCATCCGGATGCCATACGCGTTGATGCCGTCGCGATCACTCATCGTCGCCGCCGCGCTCGACGTGCTTCCGTCCGAGACGAGGGTATACTCCACCACCGTCGCCGGGCCCGCCATCCACGTGCAAAACTGCGTCTCCCACCTTTCCGCCAACGTCAGGTCGTTCTCCACGCATGACAGCGTGATGTCGCCGCGGTGCGGGCAGCACGTCACGGTCGTGATGCTGCGCACGCCGTTGTTCCGGGAGCACTGCGGCTGCGCGGTATATCCCGTCGGACAGGCAGTGCCCGGGGAGTAGAAGGCGGTGCTGGCGCCGTTAAACTTGTTCGGCAAGCAGGCCGGGTCGTTGTCAATCGCGAAAACGGAGTTTGTCCAGTACACGCCGGAGCAGGAGGCCGGCGGATCAAAGTTCTGCGTCGGAAGGGGGTTTTCGGGGAAGGTCGAGGCGACGTAGCGCGTTTTCGAGGTTGATGTTGCCGCCGCCATTGTGTGATGATTTTGTCGCAATGGAGCTAAGGAGGGCTTGCCCGATCGAAAGGACTTTGGGAGCTTCGTATGGGGAATCCCTGTGCCGTTTATGGGTCCCGGTGTGAATGTGATGAGGTTGTTTTGTGGATTCTAACGCGTTGATGACATGAGAGCGAAGCAATTCGGAAAGTGACAGCAAACAAGTCTAGTCGGGTATTAGTCGCAGAAGCAAGAAAAGCAGAGAAAAAAGAAGGAGAAAGGAAGAAGCTTGGATTGAACAGAAGAACAGGGCTATTAGGATTCAAACTAGTTTTGACGAATCCTTCGCTCGAACTAGTCTTGCTCTTTGCTCTCACTCCCTCCGTCCTGGCCAGCCACTCATACTGGCTCGAAAGTCCAATGACGATCCCATGCTTGAGAGGATCCGCTCGTAGGCAGACGCCAAAGGGACATTCGTACACTAAGGAAACGCGACGCTAAGAATGGATGGGACTAAGGGCCATCGCCGCCGCAGCGCACCATTCAGGAATCCTTCGCCAGGGGGTCGCGGCCGTCATATTACTACCACTTGATAGGCAGTCCTGATTCCTGGAAACTTCTCAGACAACCATCTGCAGTGCAAAGGGGCGTGTGAGACTTTTGGGCTCGTCTTCCCTGTGTGATCCGAGACGACCTCGCTCGCCCTCACGTCTCATTGTCTGATTGGCCATATTGAGATCCGGCGCTACCTGATAATGAAGGGATACATGCAGCTTTATTGCTTTTTCTTCAGACTGAAGCGTTGAGAAGACCAAGTCGAGCAACATTGGGGTTGAAGAGTAAGTAGAGAAGACAGGTGGCGGTTGTAATGACGGGATGGCTGTGCCAGGCTCGACTGCTTCAGAAATCCATAGCTCCGTCGGCTGGTCTGTGAGCATGACAACGACTGGCTCCTTTGACCACCAGCAGTGCAATCTAGCGTTGAAATGGCTAGATGTTCGTTTGTGGTCAATCAAGTCCTCGCTACGAGCTGGGTGGCTTGATAAGGTGTCAGCACTAAGTAGCCGATACATTTGCGTCGAACAAGCTAAGCTTTCCAAGGCTCAGCCACATCCCTTGCCAGCCCAGCAAGGCGCAAGTATTTTGGTGCTGATGGTGAGACGGATAGGCGGCATCGCGGCAGATCATCCAAACGGGTTTTCGCCGCCTGTCAGCCGTCTCGAACGCAGCGACCGGAGGACTGCACACAATGTGGGGTTTGAAGAGAGTATGTCTGATTATTAGTCGTTCAATTCGGCGTGTTTGCCTCGGATGCTACTGTAATAAGCATTGCGCGCAACGCTTTGTGAATGTGGAAAACATGTGCCTGGATCGGTCCTGG